AAATGACATATAACTTAATTCTGGTATTAGAAAACCAAGAAAAGCCCGATCCAAAGAGAACATTAACACCATTGATGGAGTTATTACTGAAACTTTCCAAAAAATCCTTAGACGGGTCCTTCATGAACAAGATAACACCTTTGGTAAATTGGTATATCTAGTATTCATAAAATACTCAGTACTCAAATTTGATTTAAAATTGATTCCTTACAAGATAAGTGTAATGCTGCATTTGAAAGAGACAGAAATTAGAGGTTGTTTAAAGTTTACCCATTGGATTTGAATTAGACCCGATTCTGAAAAATTTAACAGATGCATGGTTTTCCGATGAAATCCTCTTCCATTTAAACAAATTTAAAGAGAATCTTAAATTCTGTTGTTTGGTAAAACCAAATCTTAATGTGGAAAAACCTCTTAACTATTAGAATGTAACATTTAAAGTTTGGTAAAACAAACTTCAGAAATCGTGTTTAAACAATGTTAATTCAAAGTGACGTCATTTGGAACATGTGGTAAAATGACGTGTGTAATTCTAAAGAAAAAATGATGGTGATTAATAATAAAATTGTAACAAATGTATGCTTGACAAAAAATTTATAAAATTTTTAGCTCACCTCAACGAAGTTGGGGGAGCTTATGCAATACCCTCGGCGTCGGTGTCGGCGTCCCAGGTTAAGGTTAAGTTTTTTGGAGCAGTTTTCTTTTTAAGTACTTCTAGGTCCTATATTGATTAGACATGCAAGGAAGATGCTTCTAGTGTGTTTCATTGTACCAGTCAAAGTTTCAGATGCTGCAATTTCAGCAAACGAATGACCAGGTTAATGTTTTTGGAGCATGTTAACATTTTTGGTGCAGTTTTGGTGTAGGTCTCATTTCTAAGGAACTATAAGCTCCATGTTGACCAAACTTGCATGGATGATACATCTAAGGATGCACACTACCAGGCTTGCTTCGGATGCTGAATCTGACCTATATTTTTCGGTTGAGTGAACAGGTTAAAGTTTTTGGTGCAGGTCTCATTTCCAAGTAACTATGAGCCCCATGTTGACCAAACTTGCATGGATGATACATCTGAGGATGGACACTACCAGGCTTGCTTCGGATGCTGAATCTGACCTACGTTTTCCGGTTGAGTGAACAGGTTAAAGTTTTTGGTGCAGGTCTCATTTCCAAGTAACTATATGCCCTATGTTGACCAAACTTGCATGGATGATACATCTAAGGATGCACATTACCAGACTTGCTTCGGATGCTGAATCTGACCTACATTTTCCGGTTGAGTGAACAAGTTAATGTTTTTGGTGCAGGTCTCATTTCCAAGTAACTATAAGCCCTATGTTGACCAAACTTGCATGGATGATACAACTGAGGATGCACACTACCAGGCTTGCTTCAGATGCTGAATCTGACCTACATTTTCGGGTTGAGTGAACAGGTTAAAGTTTTTGGTGCACGTTTCATTTCCAAGATACTATAAGCCCTATAATGACCAAACTTGCATGGATGGTACATCTTAGTATGCATACTACCAAACTTGCTTCGGATGCTGAATTTGACGTACATTTTCCGGATGAGTGAACAGGTTAAAGTTTTGGTGCAGGTCTCATTTCCAAGTAACTATGAGCTCTTTAATGACCAAACTTGCTTGGATGATACATCTAAGGTTGCATCCTACCAGGCTGGCTTCGGATGCTGTATCTGACCTACTTTTTTTCTGGATGAGTGAAGAGGTGAAATTTTTATGCAGGTTTCATTTCTAAGTAACTATTAGCCCCATGTTGTGTAAACTTGCATAGATGATACATCTTAGAATGCTCACTAATGGACTTGCTCCGGATGCTGAATTTGACATTCATTTTCCAGATAATGGACCAGGTAAAAGTTATGGGTGCAGGTCTATTACCAAGAAACTATCAGGCTTATATAAACCAAACTTGCCCAAATGATGCATCAAGGGATGAAAACTCTCAAACTAGCTTGCTTCAGATGCTGGATTTTAATCATATTTTCATGATGAAGAACTAGTTTGAAGTTTTTACATAGGTCTATTCCAAAGTATCAGATCAGAATTGCATAAATTTTGTATTTTTTGGATGTACACTTTTTGTTGTTTAATTGTGTGACTTTGCCTTACTTAAAGACAACATTCGTTGAGGTGAGCTCTGTAATCTCTGATTACCTATGTTTATTATATATTTTAAATTTCTTTAATGTAACTTGAGGTGTAAAATTTTTATAACGGTTTAAAAGTGTAACATATGTTTTGGGACACCCTGTACATGTAGAATTAATAAATAAACTTTACAGAATAAAAAAAATATTGAGTGGGTAAATGGTTTTAAAAAAAAATAAAATCAAAAGAAATTTACTTATGATAAGATTAAGATAAGATGTAGAGTAGGAAGGAGTGTTTAATTGGAATGTTTATCTGCTGAAAAGGATTCGTAGTCAAAATCATAATTAAGGGACCCATTGATGGAATAGAAATTTACATTTCTGAATGCTGTTGTTTCTGTTACACTTGTTGAAAATGTGTCCACTGGGACATTTTTTGTAAGAGATAACTTAGCAAATTTATGAGACTTATAGAACTGCCATTCCTTATGATTTTGGATTAACAAGAGTCTAAAATGTGCCTTGCAATTTGTCTATCTATTCTTGTGATTTTTATATTGTAAAACCCTTATTTTTATTCTTTGATTTTAGGCTTGGTGAATATTGATGTGGAATTGAAAGATCGTACACTGAATTTCAATGTTTCACCTGTGCATGCTGCAATAATTATTCAGTTCCAGTCACAAGGTATGGTATAATATTTATTAATGTGATCACCTAGAAATTGTGAAGATATGCAATAAATAGGAAAAAAACTGATCCTATTATAATATTAAGAGAATATTCATTGTCTTTGACTGCTTCATTCAAGTTTCTGTGAAACTGAAGTTTAGAAAAAATAGGTGTAAATTTTAATGCTGATTAATCTTAGAAATTAGAAGTGTTTGAAACAGATGAAAAAAAGATAACACAAACGAAACATTTCTTCCAAAATTCAGATATCTTTGCTTTAGATGCAACACTCACTTTTAAAGTGATACATGTATGTGTTTAGTTTAACAACTGAATGTTTGGCAAAGCCACATGATTTTGGGAAAAGTGCAAAACTGCAACTAATGACCGGTCCTTTATAATTGTTACAGAGACGTGGACTGTGGAGGAGCTGAGTAATGTCCTCCAGATGCCTGCCACGGCTCTGAGGAGGAAGATTGCCTACTGGCAGACCCAGGGGCTCCTACGGGAGGAGGTCACAGATAAGTTTGTCCTGGTGGAGGAACACAAAGGGAGAGCTCACGACGTGATCGTAACAGACGATGACGAGGCTGAATCAGCCATGGCTTCTGCCCAGACACAGAGAGAAGAAGAGCTACAGGTATTGTGTATAGGATATCAGCATGGAGACTTGCTTATTTTTACATATTTTTAATGTGTGATGAGTGTAGTCATGATTTGTTCTACTTCTGATTGAGATTGTATCTGACCAGTGTAACGACATTATCTTTACCACAAGTATTCCTCTCTGATTACAGGTATTCTGGTCCTATATTGTGGGTATGTTGACAAACTTGGAGAGCCTTACAATAGATAGAATCCACAGTATCCTGAGAATGTTTGCCATGCAAGGACCATCTGTCGTGGAATGTAGCATTCCAGAACTTAAACATTTCCTAGACTCAAAAGTCAGAGATCAAAAGTTGTTATTTTCAGGAGGGGTGTACAGACTGCCTAAACCTGATATGTTATGAATAAATATATAATACTGGTTTGCAAGTTGTTTTTGATGTACCGTATATTTTTAGCTCATCTTGGCCTAAGACTTTGATTGGAAAGGGTCTGGTGTTTGTCTGTTCTCTGTAAAATTTTTATTTTTTTACTTCTTTAGAGTACCATTCATGACGAAGCAAATTTCAATGAAATTTGGAACAAAGTATCTTTAGATGATGAAGATTCCAAGTTTTAAGAGTCTTACCCAAGGGGAGACAATTTAGAAATAATGAAAACAGAGAGTCATTTGAAAATCTTTTCCACTTGGAACCAATGATTAGAAAAAAGAATCCAATCAGATTCTTTTACAATTGTAATAAGTGGAAATTTCAGCGAGACACAAACTTTGTGAATTTAAAAAAAAGTATTGGTGAATATTTTATTGATCAAGATATCTATAAAAACTAATATAGAACAAATTTCTAGCGATTTCATTTTAAGGATCTCTAAGCCCTCACTAATAATGGCAAAACTGAATCCCGTATAATTCTGCTTATACTAGTACTGTTGTTAAAATTTCTGCAAATCTTGGTACCAATAGCTTAGGTTAGGCTACAATAAGGGTCAGTCTGCTAGAATATCATGTGAACAGCATACCACAAATAGATGCATATATAAAAGGAGACATTCCATGATGTGTAGATTCAAGCTTAGGCATGACAAACTGTTATGTGAAAGAATTGGATAAATGTTACCTAGATATTTTTGAAGATGCATACAAAAGTTCAAGCAAGTGTACAGTTTACAAGGATAAATGAATACAATGTATCATCCATATGTTGCTGTCGTCCTTAGTGTATGCCTTTCAGCTTGTAATAGTTTGGACTAAATGGCTAGAGCACCTGACTTGTAATGCAGAGGACTTTAGTTTGATTCTGAGTTCAGCTTTTTATTCTATCCTTTGATGCAACATTTGGTACTGTTGCCAAGTAGAAACCTGCATGTGAAAGTCCTGCCTGAGGCTATTGAAATTGGATTGTGTCTCCAGGGCCAAGGACATTCAAGAAGGGAGGAATGTCATAGTTTTGGTATAAAGGGCTGAGATATTGGACTGGGATGGCTCAATGGATGAGTGCCTGAATAGTAATACAGGATTCCTGTTCGACTCCTTTCTTCTTTCACGTTACAAACTCTAGTACTGAAAATTAGACTTTCTCAATGGCAACAAAAGCTAGACATAGTAAAAGTGGTATGACCTATTTATTCAATAAATCAAGCACACTTGTATGTGTAGTACATTTCTTGTATTTATGATTTTTTGACATAATTAATATAAATAAAAAAGGAAATATAAATTACACAGTCAATATCACATACAATGTATCACAATTATATGTCCTTTAGATAGAGTGAGGACAATAGGACGGAATAAGATTTACAGAGAACAAATTTCACATAGCTCCACAGGGATGAAGCTCTAGATATATATAATTTTGTCAATAAGAAATATAAATCATAATCAAAATTTGCAAAGCATACAATAAATTGATAAAAATGAAGAACTTTATAGTGGGTTATTTTGGTAGGGTGCTAATTTCAGTTGGGTGTTCCATTTTTAACTATGAGAACATGTGTTTAAATCATGTTTCATATGTACAGTGAAACACATCCATATTAAAAATTTATTAAAAAAAAAAAATACAACCAATCTGGTTATTTTTGAACCAGGCTGTTTGAACTAAATTGGCAAAATAAAATATCTGCCAAAATAAGCTTTTATTTTGCACAGTGTAATTCTTAATAACATCAATACTTATTTGTGACATTCATATTTAAAATATTGAAATTCAAGAAGCAAGTCTTTAATTAATTACTGATTGTTCTCATATTGGGGGGACTTTGGGGGAGTGGGGGTTGGGCGGGGGGTAAGATATGCCCTCCTTTGCGGGATAAGAGCATGATCTCCTCCTTGAGAGCGTCTATCTCCTGGGCCTGGAGCTGCACTAGCTGTATCAATCTCTGTCTCTCCCTGATGTCAGCCTTTCTAGCACCTGTATATTCCTGACCCTGTGGAAAGAGTAGGCATGTTTAATATTATTTCTTTCTCCAATATTGCTAAAATACTTGAGATTTTTAATTGAGTTTGAAATGAAGATAAATGGAAGTATGTTTAGTTTTCTTATTCTGTCAAGTTTAAGAGACTTTTTGTAAGTTTCTTGGTTCCTTTCAAGAAAATAATATTTAGGAAAAAGGTGAATGGAGAAAAACCAACACTTACAGAATTCTTCTGCCTGGAGTCAAGTTCTGATTCGTATGATTTCTTTTCATTCAGTAACAGACAAAGTTGGTCCAGTCTGTTTGTATTATCACGAATAAGGGCTGTGATTTTGGCTTTCTTCTCAGCTATCTTTTCCTAAAACAATTTTTTTTTTCATCATTTACAATTATAAAGCTTGAACATAAGATATAACATTACAATATTATGGAAACAAATGCTGATCAAGTGTCTCATTAGATACCAGTACATTTTTTGATGTATTTTATGACACAAATCAAACATTATACTTACATCCCATACTTCTAATTCCTCGGCACATTGAATTTCAGTCAAACGTAATTTTTCTTTCAATTCCTCAATCTGCCTATTCACAGTAATAGTCTCCAACTTTTCTAAGTCAACAATCCTACCAAACTTGGCAATCATCATTTCATTGGTGCGTTCCTCCATTTCTGAAATTTTGCTGTCAAACACTTTCCTGTCCTTAATGAGCTGAACGTGTTTCCTTCTGGATTCCCTACATAAAAATGAAAAGTTTTATATTTGTGTGAAAAAAACTTATTCTTTATGTTGAGGAAACACTGCTTGTTGTCCAAGTGATGTATTTTCCTGGTGCCTTGTGCAATGAAAATTTGTTTTTTTTCTTATTTACATTGTACAAGAATATACATGTACTATAAGACACAAATATTATACAAGTAAAAATAAGAAATTAAATCACTTCGTTAATGTTCCATACATTCCATTTTGCTTCTTTACATACATTCTCTTTTGCTTTTCACATGATTAAAAAATGTTCAAGTATTTTACATGTCTGATTAAACAGGTACTGACTTCATGTGTTTCTTCTGCATGTGCTTTTCATGCTCCAGCTCCTTGATCCTTTGCTGAAGTCTGGTGACGCCATGTGACTCAAACACCAGTGTCTGAGAAAGATCTTGGGGCAGGATACCATTAATTATGTACTGTATCTGATGGAGCTTCAGAGTCACCACCACATCTAACTCATTCAATTTCTGCTGCTTCTCTAGCTATAAATGGAAAAAAAAAAGCTACTATGTTGGACACAAACATTGCTGGATTTGTTACAGAATTCTTGATATTAAGTAAGAAAATTTGTCAATAAACAACACTAGTTCTCTTTTCTACATTGTACCTGGAAGGCCTCAAGGTCATTCTGGGCAGCTTTCAGAGCACCGTCCACTACTTTCAGTTTCTTGTTGTTGCTGTCGGTTTCTTTCCGTAGAGCCTCGTTATTCTTCTTCTCCTCCTGTAGAGCTTCCTCGATGTCCAACTTCTTCTCCCTCAGTTGACAAGTATTATCATAGATATTCTGTCAAAATATTAATCAAAATTAATAAATTTTCTTTGAGTCTTTCCAAAATAAACAGCAGGTTGGCAACTATATATGCAATGAATTACATGTACCTGCATCTTAAGAGAATACCAGATGACACTGAATTTTATTACCTGATCACAGCCTGGGGGACAGATGTCAAGGTCATATCCTCCTTCTTCCTCGGACTCTTCATCATCTTCATCCCAGTCAGATTCATCATCAGAATCTTCATCACTGTCTTCATCAGAACCTACAGAAATCACGTCAGCAGTGTTAATTATTTCTATTTCCAAAAGAAATGGTTTAAAGGCAAAACCAAATGAGTGGCCCATGCACCACAATGCTCAACTGAGTTACCATGGCCCTTTGTTCTTTAAATAAAGATTTTAATAAAAATTCCTCAATTTTATTCACATGACAATTGTGACCCAACCTAGCCCCAACAGGACATGACATTACTTAACTCAAATCAGCAACTCCTTGGAAATTGTGACCAAACTCATACAAATTTTATGATTAATATCACTTATTTGTGCTTTGGTTATATTGATGAAAAAATTGTTGGTCCCTTGAATTTTTTAATATAGGAATCTGAGCTAGTCTGTTAATTATAATTAATAAATTGTTGTTGTTCAAACACAGTGAAAGATTGAATGTACCTTCTCCATCTGTGACCTTCTTTTTGGATCTCTTGATTTTCTTTTTGAATACTTTGGTCAAGTAGTCCGTAAACTTGTTGTTCTCTCCTAGAGAAAGCTGGAACTGAGCGTACAGTTGTTTCTCTCTCTCCTGTAACTTCTCTATCTCCTTCTTCTTCATATCCTGCTTCCCTTGTAGCTCAATTATCTGATAAAAATAAGGATCAAAAATCTTAATATATTGTTGTTTTTATGTATTACTTGTAAGGCAGTTGGGGCTTCCCATATATATGGTGTGGAGGGTCCAATAATCATCACTAATATACCACTGGATAATTCTGATTACCTTTGCCTGCATTTCCAGTTTCTCCTGTTGCTTCCCTGACACTTTGGCCTCCATAACATCCTCTCTCTTTTCATACTCTTTTAGCAGAACAAATTCTTCAAATAGTGTTACCTGCCTGTATATAAGAAATAAATCTCTGAAATCCTAAACTGTTCTTTCAAATCAACATTCATGGGATTATCCACTAGTGGTAAAAATGCGTATTTGTAATTGGATCCCTACCTTAAGTCAGCATTCTTCATCACTATATCTAGCCTGAACTTATCATGGCGTAACAGTCTCAGTTCAGCATCAAAGTTTAACAAGAGCTCCTCAATTCTTCCCAGAAGTCGATCTTGTTCATACAGCATCCTGTCAAACAAATACATATTTTACCAGACTGAGACTAACACAGATGTATAATTTGATTCTGACAAAATGTTGCATTTCAAAACAATATTTTGAACAATTAAACAACTAGGGGGAAAATTATGTTAAACCAATTAGCAATAGAAATCAGTGTTTTTGATACTGGTGTCTATCCTTTTTACATTTATTACGAAATTGCTTTAAAAGTGCAGTTTGCTTGGTCCTTGAAAAAAAATGAACAAATCTGGTTGGTCTACATTAAAATCTTAATAAAAACTCCAAAAGTTAAATAGAGGTTGAACTCTCTGAGGTACTCCATCTCAGAAAAGATCAGATGGGCCAATCAGCGAGCAGCAAATTTACAAACAAAATGAATATTCTATAGATTTATAGGATATGGACAACAAAACAAAATAGATGGAATTACATATGATATAACCCACCAATCCACTAAATGATGTTTTGTTACAACACTACATTGTTTTATGACATACTTGATTTCCATGCTTTCTTTCATCTGTAGCTCTAGTGGAGAAGTCTCTATTTCTTCCAATTCATCATCCTCCCCAGCCTTAGAATCACTGACTATTGTGCTTGGTTTAGGGGTGGGTGATGCTCCCTAGAAGAAGTGTTTGTCATATAAAGTAACAGGAAATTCTCACTCTGTTAAAATCATTCAGAATTTACTCCACATCTATGTAAAGTTACCTTGTCCTTGGCTGTGTCAGCAGTGTTACCAAACCCCCCAAAACCTCCAAACCCACCGCCTCCCTTAGCTTCTTTGGCTCTCACTTCCATCTCCTTCTTAAACGCCAGCAAGGTGTCTCTGGTGTATTCTAATTTCCTTAAAAATATGGATGTAAGAGAACAATTAGTTATATGCTTAAACATAATTGAACATTCAAAAGTGGTGGAAAAACTACATTACATACAAACATTATAAAATTGGTACTAGTAACTTACTTCTCTGGCATTTCATCAGGGTACATTTTGGGGACTGGAGGAATGGGCTTGTGCTTTGATTTATCTAAGTTAGTCTGAACTTCTCCGAGCTGAGCCACCAATTCACGAATCTCCTCAATCACACTCAGTTTCTTGTCTCTTATTTTGAGCAGACGTAGATTGAAATTATACTTGTGCTCATGTATCTAGTAAGAAAAAGAAACTTATTATTCAAAAGCATATGTACAAATCTTACTAAAAATGTAAACGTGAAAAATTCAATAATGTAAGAAAAAACAGTTAATAAATGTGTTTATTACTTATGTTGTAGTTATTAAATTCATCTAAATGTCTGCTACGTGATCAACCAAGTCATGTGATATCAAATAAGATGTGTTCTTATATGGCTAAGAGAATGCTCAAAGCAGTTTATAGTAAATGTAATGCAAAATTTAGACTACATTTTAAAGCTCCAGGAAGCACTTACAATATTGGTGCAGATATGTTTTATTAATGTTGTACTCACTAAATCTTTAAGGATGAGTAATCTGCCCCTGGCTTTTTCTACATTCATTCTTAGATGGTCAGGTACCACGTAATCCTTGGCTGTTTTCAGTTTGAAGTCTCCCATATTATCCTTGGCCTCTTTAATGGCTGCCAGGTCTGCTGGATCCTCATAATCGTCATCAGGCTTTGTGTTGTATAACTCCTCCCACTGAAAATTATAGAAAAATTTCAATTTTAATTAATATGTATACAACATATTGTATTTCGCCATGTATTTTACTAATCCTATTTCTTCAGACTTAAAAAATGAACAAGAGGCTTAACTTTTAACCAAGCAGCTTTAAAAAAAAGATAAAGAAAATTCAGAATACATTGTACATAAGCCAACAACTTTGGATAAACTAATTTTAAAATAATGTATATTTATGTTATATATATAAATGTACTAAAATCAGCTGTAAACAACACTGTATCCACTGATCAGACAATATAACCCATACAAATTTTTGTTTTAGATGGATTAACTTTAAGCTGATCACTAGATGACCCTATGTATCCTGACCTGGGCCCTCCTTGCCGCCCGCTTTTGTTTCTTCTCCTCCACTTTATGTAGGGCTTTGTTGATTCTCTCCCCCATACTGCCCTTCAGGGTCGTGGTCAGTTTGGTCCCCGTCTGATCCCCGGGCTTTCCACCACTTCCAGCATGTTCATCCGAGTGTGACAGTTTACCTAAAAAAATCATCGTTTTAATTTATGTATATAGCATCTTTGCTCTCTTGATAATAAATCAATATTTAAATAAGGAAAGAAAGCACTTAATATGAACATAGAATGATCAAATTCCTTATATTTTCTTCTGTGAAAAATATGGGGACAGACATATTGGAGTTTTATACACACTTTTCATATACTGCTGATTTGAATATGACTTACCCCCTAAGAGGTCACGGGTGGGGTCTCTAGTTATGTCATCTTTTACCATGGTCATTGTTTTCCTTCTCTCAAACTCGGCCTTCATTTGGTAAAAGTCATCTGACAGCTTCGCTGCCCTAAAACTTGCTACTTCATGTGGTGTTTTAAATGCTTTTACAACTATCCTTTCACATTCAACCACATCTTTGTACCTAAAAGACAGATAATTTGCAAAAGAATGTTTTCAGTACAAATTTCATGATATTGTTCTTTACTAGTATTTTATTGTATACCACAATTAAGTTAAATGCAGATGTTTGCATGAAAATGTCTAGATCAATCAAATAATGTTGAAAGCACCCAAGAAGCAGACCCGATGACCTACAAACCAGTGTAATCACCTTTTTCTCAGCTTTTCCAATGCTACCCTCTGTTTTTCTGCCTCCCATGCTAATTCCTTTCTAACTAGGTCAATTCGATCAGTCTTCTGCTTTTCTAATTCAAGTTTGATTTCTCTATCCAATTCAAATTCCTGCCCAACAAAATTTGACATGAATATAATATTGTTTAATTGATATCAGTTGACACTACCATACACTCTGTATAACACTGGTACTTGCCTCCTTTTTCAGTTGCAGATGAACAGGAAGTCCTTCATTTTGTTCCAGAATGCTCTTGAACTGTCGCCTTAGCTTTGCTATCTGGCGACGAACCTCTTTTTTCTTTTCATCAGCTATTTTCATCATTTTATCATGTTCTGCCTTTTGTTTTGCATCTTCAATACTGAAAAATGATAGGGTTTTATGATATAAACAGAATTTTTAATAAATCTATATCAAGCTAAAAAAGTGAGACATTTATGTTTTACCTGTAAGCATTTGGATCTTCAATATCATCAACACTGATTTGTTCTCCAGATTTCTAAAAAAAAAGTCCAAGAAGATGTTCAAGTTTTGTTCTTCAAAAAAAAAAATTGTAAATTTTGATTACTCCTTATATAATTTGCCAGGTAGCCAAGCAATTCAATTTTCAACACAGATATAGCAAGCCTGCACATGTTTGAGGTTGTAAGACACTGACCTTTGCTGAGGGGAGTTTGGCTTTGGCCTCGGCCACTTTCTGGTCCACCTTTTCTTGCTCCATTATGTCATACAGGAAGAAGTTGCCATCAGCTCCTACTGACACCAGCATCTTCTCGTCTGGACTTACTCCTAGTCTCACAACATGGCCATAGTTATTGTCATGAAAGTTCAACTTCCAGTGGGGACCAAACGCATCCATACTGAATTCCTTCTCTAGACCCTGAATTCTTATTCCACCATCTTCCATACCAAACAAGATTTGTCGTCCATTACCACTATAAACAAAAATTCAGCCTGACATTATAGACAACTTACAGACTTTTTAATACACACTAAACACAAACTATGTGTATTGGGCTATTGGTGCTTTTTTATTACTACTAAATACCTGTATTGCATAAACGTGATTGGAACATCATTGGAATCTGTTACAGGAATGGATTGTAATGGTGCATCTTGGAGTTCTTCAGGTAATCTTGATCTCTCTTCTTCAGTGGTAAACTTACATTCATACATATATCCAGCATCAAACTCTCCCTGTTCATAAAAAAAGGCTAGAGTTTATATAGCTGTTTTGAAAAAAAAAATCAAACAAAATTAAATACTGTAGATCACTAAATTTTTGACATTATTTTTGCGAGAGAGTCATCGACTCTTGATTAGAGAGCAAAATTTTCACAAATTGTGGTTATTGCTCTATATAATCCAGGAATCTATTATAGGAATTAAATTTTTGTGAGCACACTGTCTCATGTAATTCCATTCTGGCTCTGGAATAAAAAGTGATTTACAGTATCTCTGCAATAAAATGAAAACAAATTAAAGCAAAAGAATTTTCACATGAGTTTTTGTACAAATAATCAAAAAATTTCACAAAAATGCAACAAAAGCTTCCAATGGTAAAAGGTACATGTAATCAACCACTGTATACAGGCTGTAATTTATCTAAATGCAACAAATTTAATTAACAGTTGAAAATTTGGTATTTACTGATATCTATACTGATATCTAAAATATACCATGGATATGTTTAAGTAAAATTTAATCTTAATCATTTTTCTTTACATTTTTCAGCCCTAATATCTAAAATCCTTGAATACAATTTAGTTATTGCCTTTTTCCTTATAAGTTCAAAAAGATAATATATATTTAAAAACATTATATACTTTATGTACTGTAACACTCATGGCACATGAAGTGCCATTAGTTTTTAAAACTTGCCTTCCTCTATATCTCCTTGTTCTGACTCTGTCTCCAGTCCTCTCTCTATCCTCTTCCTTCTCTCTTCCTCCTCCTTCTTCTTCCTCTCCTCCTCCTCAATTCTCTTCCTCTCAAGCTCTTCTTCATGCTGTGATATAAAATAATTCATATAACTAATAAATGATTGAGTTATTTCTCATGTAAACTTTATGGTTTTAAAAGAGAAATTCAGTTTGGAATTTTCAAGCATCTTTCATGCACTTACACGTAATCGAGACTTGATGCTTTTGAACTTGTAGGACCTCACTGGTAAGCCAGTAATGTGAAAAGTTTTAGATGTATCAAATGTTGCCCCATCTGGAGAATCAACTTCTAACACAAGACCATCTTCACAAAATACCAAGAGAGTGGATTTTTTCTGAAAATTAAGAACAAATTTTCATGTTTTTATACTAAAAGTACTGAAAAGATAAACTTCATTTCTTTATGCTCCCATCACAGTATATATGAATGGATTTTGTGTGTTTTAGATATCACATCTATCACAAGGGCAGAACAGTAAGTACCTAAAAATTAAGCTAACCCTTTAATCATTTAAATTTGACAAAAATAAGCACTCACAAAAGACGAGGGAGACCACTGGACCTGTCTCACTGCTGCGGGGGTCTCTATAAATCCTATTGGTTCATAGGTTTTTCCGATATTCATAAAAAATATTGTGTTATCTGCACCCTGTAAAAGAAATTTGGTTAAATTATAAATAATAAATTTGACCAAGAGAAGAATAGAATTTATAAACGATTTTAATTAAATGTATTCAAAAATAGGTTAAAAATCAATCTATGAAACTCTTACCCCTGAAGCAAGAATATCTCCTTTGTCATTCACAGCAAGGGAAGTAACGGCCTTGGTATGAGGTTTGAAGACCTGATCGAGGTCAAGGTCAATGTCATGTTTGTGTTTTTTGTGTGCTTGATCTTCATTGGCCTTGGCAATAGACATGATTCTGACCACACCATCACTAAATCCAGCTATGATAGTTTTTGCTTTAGGATCAACCTAAAATATGGGTATAATTCATGTGCAAGGTTAAAATTGAAGCATCATCACTATTGAAATGATACTGTATATTACAGTAAATGAACATACAAGCATATCACTTTATTTACTACATGTAAAATTTCGACCATGTCAGCTGATGATTTAACATAAGGGTAATATATGTATATGAAGAGGAAATAGATGAGCTTACAATTTGTGGAGCCCAGATCAGAGCTGTTCCAGCATCAGCAAACCTCTTCTCATACAGCTGTTTCTTCTGTAGAAAATCAAACACCCGCACTGTGTCTACAAAACCAAAGCATCTGTGTATTTGTGCTTGTGTTATTACTTGCTCTTGGCATTAAGAAATATTAGGTGAGTTGTAGTTTATAAATAAGAAAAATGCCGTAGACTTACGATCAACACCAGTGGTGGCTACGAGGTGAGTGAGGGGTGACACATCACACCCGGTGATGGCTCCAGCGTGGTAGGAGAAGAGTTTGTCTGGGGCTTGGGAGGTGTGTGAAAAAGTCAGATCCAATTTCCATATACCACCATTGGCATCCTACAAGGATTAATTATGAAAAATATTCTTAAAACAATAATTTAAAAATCCTATGATTTCATCAATTGTAGCTAAAATGTAAATGGATTCACTATAAAACTCTTTTATCTCCCCTTTTTATATACTTTCTATACAATATTTTGCAGGACTTACCTGTGCATACCACACAGTGACCTCATTTTCTGCATCAGTGGACTTCAGTATGGACTTTAGATGGACATCATGGCCCACTCGCAGCTCATTCATAGGCTCCATTTCAAACAGTCCTGATTCGTCTGCCACATCAGCTGTGTCCACACTCTCAAAGTCCCAGACCTGAAAAGCATAGTACACACAATAAACATCTGCCGCTTGTATAGAACATCTGATCTTAAGACTCCTTCTACACATTAAACAATACCAGATGAAACCTACCCTTATAAATCCATCCATTCCAACAGTCATTAGCTCCCCTTCATCCAGAAGGATTTGCTGGATGGATCCATGGTGACACATTTTTTTCCCTTTGCGTCCAATCTCCACTTTGATTAAGCCACCCTCCCAGAGAAGCATGTTACCAGATTCTGTTCCAGACAACACTTTTCCATCAGGAAGTTCAACATAACCTTCTATGTCTGAAATCTCAGTTTTGCCAAACTTTCCCAGTTCTCCTTGAAGTTTTAAACCTGTGAAAGTGTCTGCCATTTTCCAGAATCTGTAAAAGAAACCAATAGATGTACATTAGACAATATAATTCAATACATGTACTTTAATTGTAAAAGCCCCAAACTCTACATTTTACTGGCACAGGCTTAAAACTTCAATTATTGGTTTGTTGTTGTCATTCAATTTTGAATCCAATGAACTTTTAACAGCATAACTAAACTGCTATGTATAATTATATTCCTCATGTTGGCAAATTTAATTTATTCTCCTTTTTAAAAAAGTTTTCTTTCATTCTATTTTTTGTATATCTATATACTTTTAAATATTTAGATGAAGTTATTCTTGCCTGATATGTCCAGTACCAGCGGTGGTCAGCTGCCCCTCCAGTTCCGTGGAGAAGGTCACACGGAACACTTCCTGGGAGAAGGCCTTTGACCTCAGTACTGTTTGCTCCTCCTTCCAGTCCCAGATAGTTAACATGTAGTCCGGGTCCCCTCCCACAGAAGCCAGTAAATCACCCTTAGGACTGCCAAAGAAAAGGCAATATTCATAGTTATTTTTTCAAAGCAATTTTTATAGAGATTTGAGTTATAAAAGGAACTTTTTAATAGTAAAAATATGATATCAAGCATTTCTAAAAAGACAAATACAGTGTAGTATGAACTTACTTAAAGTCAACATATGAGTAGGATCGCTCTGTCCCCCCTCTCAGGATTCGATGCAGCTTTAGTGATGGATACTCAAAGATGTTGATGTTAGGTGAGGTTCCCTTTTCAGCAACAGCAAAATATTTCTTAGAAGGATGAACCTGTAAACAAAAATTATACTTAAAGTAAATATCAAATAAAAATATAACCTATACAAGAGATGTACTACGTGTACTGAACTTAATTATTTTCACACAAAAATATTGATGGCCCTACATTGACTCTCACACTGAAGATAACAATGAGATGGCAGGTACTACTTACTGTGATGGCCCCAATACCTCCCCCACTGGTACTGCGCAGGTATTTCTGTTCCTTTGTCTGCAGATCCAGAAGTAACACGTAGTTACCCGCAGCAAAACACACCGTTCTCTCGTCCAACAGATGGAGGTTGTGACGCTTTGTACAGTCATATCCAAATGAATGACTAGATAGAAAAGACAAAAATATGAATTGTTTCCAAAAACACTTTATTATGATTAGAGATGAAACTTATCCTTCTAAAATAAAATTTCAGTTTTAAATTACATTATAATAATAGGCACTTTTTAGATTTTTCTTTTGATAATTGGTCATATTTTCAAAGAAAACATTTATCATACGCCAGATTGATGTAGTCCTTGGGTAAGCCTGAGTCCTGAGTGATCTGTGGCTGGGAGATTAAGTCTTCGTAGTTGTAGAAAAAATCATCAGGAATCTTCTTTTTCTCCTCCTCTTCCTTTTTAGCTTTCTTCTCCCCTTCCTCATCTTTCAAAAAAACATAGAACAAAACTTTTAAAATTGAACTTTTACATAATTATACTTATTTTCTCTTTGATATATTCATGAAATAATTATAAAGAGAAAAAAAAATACTGATTTATATTTTCAAGTTTTTATGTCCCCTTATTCAAAGATTTGGGGGTACATTGTTTTTGTTTTGTTTGTCTGCCTGTTTGTCTATTTATTTGTTTCTGCAAAAACTTTCCTCATTTTTTTTACATTCCTTCTTCTCCTGAGTTTCCCTCTTTGATCGTCATGTCTCAATTTATCCCTAGTCTACCCACCCCTCACTTCCCTCTACTCAACACTTACCCTGTTCATCACCCTCGGCAGCATTTTGATTTGTATCCCCCTCTCCTGTTTCTTTAGGTTTCTCGCCCTCTGCTGTTTCCTTGGGTTTATCCTCTGTTTTCTGGTCATCCTCGGGTTTGGTTTGATCATCTGCAGCCTTTTCTTCCCCGTCTGCTTTCTTCTCCTCTGCTGGTTTATCTGTAGCTTCCTCCTCTGGTTTCTTTGAAGACTCCTCTTCCTTGCTTCCTGATTCTTGTGCTGGCTTATCTTCCTCCTTTTTCTCTCCCTCTGGTTCCTCCTGTGCCCCCTTCTCACCTCCCTCTGTTTTTTCCTGATCTTCCTTTACCACATTCTCCTTTTCCCCCTCCTCTGTTTTTTCCTGTGTGCCCTCTGGTTTCTCCTCCCCGGCCTTTTCTGGGGGAGCCTCAGACCCAGGCTCTGGTGTCTCATTCACCTCCTCCACCTTCTTTGCTTCTTCTTTAGGAATGTCATCTTTTGTCTGGTTAATCAACACATAAAATTAAAAATATGTGTAGATATGTGCAGAAATGTATTGGTATTCAACACATTTAATGAACTTAAGTTAAAAAACAAATCAAATATATAGTGTTTTTTTCTTCAATAGATTAGTTGTTTGAATTAACAGCAAAAAAACATACTTATAATATGGTTCTTTTAAAAATAGTATACTGACGATTTGGCAACAATTGAAAAAATAATGCAACAAGCATGTCTGTATTGGTAGCTAGTTTAGACTACAATAAATGATGAAATATAAACCTGTTCTGTGGCCTGGACAGGAGGTTCCACTTTCTCACTTTCTTCAGCTTCTGAAAAATTAAATTAAAATAAGTCATGATTTGTACATATTGAACATTACAACACTGGACTGTTATTATCTACATGTATTCGGCAGCTATAGAAGATAAGGTTACCTTTGTTCTCAGTTGGGGTATCCCCTTGGCCTCCTTCTTTACCTAAAAATATAATAATAAAATAGTGTGAGTGACAGAAGCTCAAATCAAATATTCTAATTATAATAAAAATGTCCCATTCCATCTTTATTTATTTTTTTTTTTTACAAAATATTATATATTTCACAGTCAGTAGCTTAAAAAAACTTTCATTCATGTATCACCTAAATACATGCAGTAAATCTAAAGACTTTTTTAAATTTACAGTATATGATAACACAATTGAATTGCAATACACACATATATCTATATATACATTTGATGAGTTACACTGTACATGAAAAGAAATTTCATATGCATATGATGAAAAAAGAAATGCATGAGGCAAAGTACTGTGAAATCATAAATTTTCATGGGTTTAATTTTCGTTGTTTTTGAGGTATGACAAGACCCACGAATTCATGTCCTAAGAGATTTTCCTAAAACAACGAAAATTTGACCCCACAAAAATGTGATTTTACAGTATTTCTTATCATATTAAATCATGCTTTGATCAAAAACATGTCATGCAATATTACATTAGATATACAATAGATCAGTTGTAGGGAAGTTTGGTACATTCTTCTCCCCAAAGTGTGACAGTTATGCCTAGAGAGATGTTTTGGGGAAGCACATGCTGGTGACTTTAGTTTATAGTTGAGGACAAGTCGCCTTCTTTCAATGTTCTGTGATCTTTGTAGACTGTGGTAGGATATACAGAAATCTTGCATTGTGATGCAAAGCTAAAAACTGAGATTTGGGTTGAAGAGTAAAAATGGAATTCATGCAGTATTTTATCCACTTCAAAGTCAGGTAATGCATTATAAGTACTGCAGCATATTGTAGAAGTGTAAATTTAAAGCTTGACATAGTGGAGCAGAATGGGGCTTTTTTTCAGTAGAGTTTATAGGTTTTATTTTGTATAATACCTCTTTGTACCATCACTGTACTATCATTTATGATGTCATTGCTTTTGGGGTTTACATGCTCTCTTTTATTAGGAAATGCAAAATTTTGGTCTCTATTCTCCTGTACATTGGATTTGTCAGATTCATTCTTTTGATCATTTGTTGTTTGTTTAGGAGATGAATCTTCATTTAAAAGAAATATTTCTTGGCAAATTACATCTGTGTTTGTCAAATCACTCCTTTCCAGTGCTGTATATTTATCATTCTCTCCAGGTGACATCTCTTCTGATTTACCAAGATTAGCATCATTGTCTCCTTTGACAAAATTCTTCATGTAATTTTCTGGATTATTTTCCCTTCTTTCATCAGATTTAGCTAATTGGGAAACTTCTGCATCAGAATTGTCAAGTAAAGTTACTTTTCCTGAGTCTACAGGGATCACAGATCTCTTAGTTGTCTCCTCTTTCTGTACATCTGACTGGTGTGTTTTACTTTGAGTTTCTTTATCATTTTGTGGAGTTTCTCTATCTTTAGGGGAAGTCAATGGGGATTTTACCTCCTGTACATCATCCTTATGCTTAAGCCTGTACCTTCTCAGAGCCTCTGCTTTCAGTTTGTGTGTGGCCCCCCTCAGTGAAAGTGTCTTTTTCCCCTTGGGATGTGAATCCTTTTTCTCTATTTGTTAACATTTCAATATTGTGAATCATGAAAATGTAATTGGTATCAAGTCCGTTTGCCCAAATATTACATGATTGCCAAAAGTCTTGTCAAGACAAATACATTTTAATACAAATATTAGAACTAGAATAATACATGGAAAAATTGTGTATTTTAATTCATTATCAATGGCATTATATTCTTTCTTCATATTAATTTTTTATGCCTCGAAGCATTTTTTTTTTTTGCACTGTGTCCCTTGTTTATGACAAAAATGACATCATTTTGATCTCACATTTCTCACAATTTTTGAAAAAATTAAAATATCACGTAAACGTGCTGGTTTCTCTGACCGGATAGTAAATTATTTCAACACTGTAAATAGTTGCATTAATTAGAACGACTTTATGTTTGTAAAGAATTATATAAATTATAGCTTGATTCAAAAGGAATGCTTACGAAATAAATAAAAAGTAAAACACAAATGCAACCATATAAAATTACAAAAAGTTTGCAAGCAGAAACAACTTCAAAGATCTATTTATCAAGATATGTTTTGATCTAACCATCTAGCTGAATTGTATTAATTACAGTTTCTTGTTATGTATTGCTTTCCGTATCTACTTTTCCTTTATGTGAAGATATTTATTAAGATTACTACGTATCCTTTATTTTTAAATCTATCGACTTGTTAATCTATAAAACATTAAAAAATGGATATAAACTTACTTTTTTCGTCATCCATGTTCCCTTGTTGCTAAGAAGCACCGGGTTGCTAATTTAACGTATAACGAACCCGAGTTGTGGTAATTTTCACACGCCTGATATCGGATCTCGATCGAAATTGAATATGATCATACCAACTGTATTTTTTTTTAATAGGTGAAACCGTGAAAGAAAAAACAATTACATCCATGAAATTGTTTACATTTACAAAATGTTTATTTATACATTAGCTTAAAATCGTGATGTCTTTATCATGTTTTTTTTCCCACTCGATTGGCGATGCTTTAGAACTGTCACCCTAAAAGTATGTTATTGCATCAGGTCCCTGATTACATTCATAATTTTATATAAAGTCTAGGATTTTTTATATCATTGAAAGCTGCTTTTTCAATAAAAAGCAACTCGAAAATTTACCTTGTCATTGCCAGCAGTGGTCATTTGCAAAATTATTTTGTTAAAAATCATTCTGATTGTACACACAAGTACTCTGAAGTTGACATCAAAAAGATGCTTGAGTTTCTGATTGACAATATCTATGTCGTTTTTGGAGACCAGGTCTTCCAACAATCTGAATTATTGGAATTCACATTTCTTTTAAAAAGATTAAAATAATTTTCAATATAATATTTATGAAAAGGGAATTAAACCAATTGCGCCCCGGTCATAGCAGACCTGTTTTTGTATTCATATGAAGCAGAATTGTGCAAAATCTTATGCGTGAAAAGAAGAAAACACTTGCTGTGACCTTCAACTCGACATTTAGATATATCGAAGACGTACTGTCAATTAACAATGGTAATTTCCATTCTTATGTCCATACGATATACCCTAGCGAGCTTGAGATAAAAGATACCACAGAGTCTGACACATCTGTGATGACTTTAACTTTTCTATCGTCAACTCTCCTTACTTATGCAGCAATATACCTTCATCACCTGCATACGGTGTTTATATATATCTCAGCTGATTCGATACGCAAGACCATGCTCTACGTAGGAACAATTTCTAAAACGAGGTAAATTATTGACAAACAAGTTGATGAAACTAGAATTTCAGCTGTCTCATTTAAAGTCATCATTTCGTAAGTTTTATGGTCGATACAATGACCTTGTCAGCAGATACAATTTATCATTGAGTCAAATGCTGACTGACGTTTTTCATACTTAATGTTAGTCCAATATTCATACACTGCATTGACGACGGATTTTTCCGTTAATTCCCGATCATGACAAAGAGCACACGTACGGCGGGTGTGACCGGTCGGCAAGGGATGCTCACTCCTCCATGGCACCTGATCCCACCTCTGATGTTTCGGAGGTCCGTGTTTGCTCTGTTCCTATTTTGTATTGTTTTATGGACTTTTGGTCTTGAATACTGTTTGTTATCTCCATATGTTTCATTAGAACTGTCACCCTCAAAGTATGTTATTGCATCAAGTCCCTGATTGCATTCATAACTTTTTTTGTTATTATGATACATTTCTTGTGTGTTATTTAATTTATGCATCGCGTGAGGCCCATAAGATAATAAGGATCGAACAAAAAAATCAAAAGGGGGGGGGGGGGGGGTAGATTGCATTGATTCGAAGCGATATAGATTTGAAAAAAAAAATCTTGTACGTGTATGTATTCTTAATAAATTAACAGTTTAACAAGGCTATTACAGCTGTCTATCATTCGTCAAAGTTTAGATTAACAAAGTTACCCTGTATTTATGCCCCACCCTAATTGAAATGGCTTCTTCGAATAATTAAAGGACGATATATGGCAATATATGCACTTTGAACAAAAAATCCAATTGCGTTAATTTCAAATCAACGAACTTTGAAATTGTTTTTCCAAAAAGTTTATGAGTGCACATCAACTTTTTTTTTTTACCATGGAGACATTTAATACACTTTGAAAAATATATATAAATCATAAATTATAGATACCGTTATTTTGTAACATTTCTTTAAAAACAAAATGATTTACCCTTGTGGAGAACGAGGAGAGGACAGGTAGAGGGACCCTAGCTCAGCCCAACTCTCTATCTTTTTTATCTTTGATACCTATAATTTTTTTCTGATATCAATTGGTATGATATTGATTTCCTTTCTCTCAATAAATTTGAGATAACCTAATTAAAATAGATGAAAAAAATGAGATAAGCTTACTGGGGGTGGGGGGGGGGTTTGCTCGTGGACACCGTATTATATTAAGAGAGAGACTGGGAGTCTCATGGACTATGTCTAAGAACCAATAGAAAACTGACTATACTTTAACCAAACTAGCTTTAAGAAAATCAAAAGCAATTTATTTCACGAGTTTGAGGGGATATTTTGATATTTTCATGAGTGCAATAATTCTAAGTACGCCTTCAGCGTTTATGCAAATTATCACGCAAGCCAATCGATTGATCACATCATGAAATCGAAAAATTAGGCAGTTATTTCCTTGAATCTTTTGCGCTGAAATGCAATAATTTCAAGCAATACTTTTATATCAAGTAACAATGTCGATTTACCCCCTTAAGTGAGACCACACTGAAAAAAAAATTTGTGGCAAAATATTTCATATTATAGAAGAAATTTACAAACAAAACATGAAGTTGATTAGAGGACCTTGCTCCCATAACCTTTTGCATGGTTTTCTCGTAGACATGCTCTTAATACAATTTGAGTCCAACTGCTTTTTGTTTCTCGAGTTTTTCTGGTTCATTTTTTTTGCTTTCTCTGGCTTTCAAAAACGATGCTTTATCTCAGAAAAAAGCCTATTTTTTTTTCATTTTTTAACTAGAAGTATGTGTAGTTATAGTTTGGTAATAAAGAGGAATCACTGTCTGTCTGATACAAAGATTCCTTGATCACAAACCACGTTTAAAATCAGCCCCCCCCCCCCCCCCCCCCGAAAAAAAATAAAACATCCTACTGTAAAGGAAAGCCACTTGCAACTATATTTGAGCTTTCAATGAAATTCCGTTTGATTCAATGCTCATGCTTTAGAATGTGTTATGATATTTATCTCAAAAAGCTGATATTGTGTTAAATATTTCTGTCAATTCTACCAGAGCTGAGTACCGTATACAGGGTTATTTTGGCCCTGTCTTATTTTGGCCCTTTCATACTTGCAAACAATTTTGCCCCGTTTTAAATTCGCCCAGTCATAGTTTTGTTTAAGAAATACTACTGTATTCTTTGAATTCGGGGGCAAAAATTTCCCTGTATACAGTATATATTGAATATTTGTATGCAAACACAAAAAATAAAATCCTTCTGCTGCATGGAAATCTTTTTTTTTTCCCGATACATGTGTATATCTCATCCATAAATCTTAAAATGTTTCAGAAGTTTCACAGAAATCCACTGAAATATTTTTTTATATGACGTTCACACAACTTAGACACAGTACATAAGATTTATTAAATCTTCAGCACACTTAACAATATAATGCTTACTCTTCCATGATTTTTATCCTATATACATGCATACAAACAATGACAGAAAACGACACCATTGTAGAATTTTAACAAAAAAATGTCTAGAGTATCAGCCTCTCTTCTTTGTCATCCTGTTCACCTGCCCCGCCCCCTCCTTTTAGAGCATTGTCCAGCTGGTTGTCTTGTGCGAGTGCCCGGAAGTGCTGGGTAAAGAAAAAAAATTCAATAGTATTAATCAAGCCATAAAAAATGCAATGCTTTTCCTTTAAACAGAAATTAATGTATATTAACCTGTTATGTTACATCTGTGTAATTAGAATCAAGTGAAAATCATGAAAAAGAAAAATACATCAGTTTCAAATTTTGATCCATACCTGAGAATTTTTAAATTCTGAAAAAAGTGTAAATAAAACATGGAGAGCCTGGATCTTTTCATTGTGATGAGGTGATCCTTTGTATACTGGTATGTCAAGGATTGCTGGAAAAAAAAGTCGTGTATAATAAGATTCATGTGTACAGTAAAACCTGAATATAGTAAACCTTCTTAGGACATTCAATTAATTTACTTAGTTAAACATGTATCCATAATTTCCGAGGAAGATCTGCAATGAATTACCAATGAATATATCTCTAAAAATTCGGAAATACGATGTATTGCCATGAAAATGTTGTACTCACAACAGATGAGTTCCACGTACTGAGGGAGATCACAGTCTAGCTCCGCTGTGGGAAGTCCCACCTGTCACAAATAAAACAGACTGGTCAGTTTCTTCTCATTAAAGATGTAGTACAGTCACTACAGTGTGGATAAATTAAACAGTACAAATACTCTCTTTGGTTGTTAGTACAGGAATTAAAGTTGCAGCTATTTTAGACAAAATGCATACATTGCATAATTTTTTTCTGCAACAGCTGCAACATAAATTATAATTCATCCTTCCCATGAATTTAAAGAAATGAATTAAAGAATTTGGTTTGTCATATCTTTTACTCAAACACATATATAACCTTCAAAGCATCTGTATTCAATCAAAAATTAAAAAAAACAACTTTAAAGACAATTAACATTTCATTTTGATGCTTTATAATTAATAAAGTTAAGAACATGCATACCTCTTTAAGTAATTCTTCAAATTCTGGAGGCCATTCCTGCATCAATGTGTCAATATCAGGCATATTTCTAAAAAATAAAATTACATGCATATACTTACAATCTCCTTACATATGAAGATATACACTGAATTTATAAAACAAACAGCACAGAACTTCTCTACAGGGGCTGGGAAACAAACAATCTAGCCAGATTGTAAACAGCTTTCTTTACACGTTATATATTGTGCATAAGTGTATTTGATGAAGTTGGGAAAGCACAGTATCCTTCAATTAGGACACAGAACATGATTACATGTAATGTTAGCAATACAAAAACATATTGCTATATTTTTTGTAGGACAATTATCCAAACTTTATGCACAACTGTCCTCACAATGACATTTCTTAGTTTTAATAAATAAAAACTCTTTTTCATTTGGAATATAAAATTGTAATAAACACTGAAAAGTGAACATTTTAAAGATATTTCATTTCATGATCATACATGAACTTAAATGCAATTTTACACTAGTATAAAAGAATGTTTTATACTGGGCTGTATATATCCATACACATCTTTAAGACCATGATGGATAATGTATCAGAGTATTACACAAGCACTGATTTTATACTTCATGCACAATACAATGCATCTTCCCAAGTCAAGAGTTTCTGATCCACACCGCTCCACATAAACCCTTGACTGAATAGGCTAAGTTTGATGGGGTTAGAAATTGTAAAGAATGGCCTCATGCAAGTTTGCATGAACCAATCAAAATCATTGTTTTATTTAAACTTAAACTAAATTGTAAACAGAAAAACATGCCAGTTTAAGTCCCAAGAATAACACCTTCATCTTTAAAAAGCCCAGTTAAAGGTTTGTCTTAACTTTTTAGTTGAATTTTATTGAATTTATTACCAACTTCCAATATTATCTTGAATTCTCTGTTGAATTCGTTTACTCTGATTTGCCAATAGCAGAGGTCAGTAGAGTTCAATACATACATGCCAACTTTTGAAAATTCCCATGGGGGATTTAGCGCGTGATGACAATTTTCAAAGCTTTAAATTCGCGACATTTTCTCGTGAAATTAAATGATCTTTTTTTTAAATTTATAATATTTGATATCACTGATTAATACAACTCAAGGATTAATTTAACACAAAAAATTGATTAAAAAAAATTTTAAAAAATGTTTTTTTTTCAAAATTGAAATATTTTTGCTAAAATAAGTACCTCTTTCATTAAAAACATGGTTTTTTTCTACCAGGACATATAATTTAGTGAGAAATTAAAAATTGTACAACTTTTAAATCATTTTTTTCAAAGACTAAAAAATATATGAGGTTTTGATACTGTAAAGTCCTGTTTCTGGAAACATTTTTGAGATTTTTTATTTATATATTTCTGCAATTAATTAGAAATTCTAATAAGGTATTAAATTTACTGAAATTTATACCACCTATCCAAAAAAGGAGAATTATTTTTTTTACAGTCATGAAATTTGTCAGGCTTGATGGTGCCATGTGGGTATTTCCTCAAGTCATGCACATACCTATAAAATATTACTTTTGGGAGAAGGAAGGAAAAAGTTCTAATTAACATACACTGGATTGTTTCATCTTGATTTCATAATATTTTAACTGGCAAACTTTACAATATTTTTCATTATAGGTAGATAAAATCAGCAGCTATGCTTTGTAGTTTTCTACTTTGTTTTCAAAAAACGATCTCTTTAGATTCCGATTTTATAGTTTTATTAGTATATCATTGTCTTTAATTTTTGTTTTTAATAAAATGACTAACAATTAACACGTTAATCTATGTGTTTCACCTTGCATACCCCTTAAAACTGACAAGATAATCCCCTAATGTTGCCCCAAGCTATAAGCTACTTGTACCTAACTTGCGTTCGAGCGTGAAGTGATTTCCTGTGGCTAATTAACATTGTTAAATAAACAATGAAACTTATCTGAGTGCATTGAATAAACAAGTTTGACATTGTTATCCCGAATGTCAAAATTCAGCGGTAGGGAATCTTTTAAAATCGGAAATTTTGGTGATTTTTTTCAAATCGGGAAATTAGGGCAATTTTTCTTTCACGATCGGGAAGGCGGGATGAAAGGGTAAATGCAATTTTACACTAGTATAAAAGAAAGTTTGATGTATGTCAATATATGTAAATCCAAACACATGACTTTAAACCCCATCAAACGATGGATTAATTAGTCAAGGGTTTATTACACAAGCCCTAATTTTTATATACTTCATACACAATACAATGATAAAAGACAACAGTAAAAACCTTTTTTAATCTTCAATGCATATTTTAAATTTCATTTGAAGACCTTCAGTTTTTGGAAGCACTGTATACTGATTATGGGGTTACAAATGTATTGATGAAAGTATTTGCGAAACAATATGTAAAATGTAGAGTGCACTGATAATACTGTAATAATTGATAAATTCATCACTTTATCTATACTTACTTGGAATAATGTACATTAGGAGGAGGCTGGGTTCTGTGAAGTTCCCTAATGCTCTCTATCCAGCTCTCAATCTGTTTGGGATTTTTCTCTGCGTTATCTATGCTCTTGACCACTACCTTTTTGTCAGTGGTCTGTTTGGATATGGCCCTGAGCTGTAGATCTAGGACTGTGGGGTCAGACTGTTTGGCGCACGGCTCATCAAGGACGGTCAGTCCTAACGTGTCTGGTCGGTTGTCAGGACGCGTTATCTACAGCAAAATGTATTACCCTATTTTGAATTTAATTGCAGGAAAATTTCCTTGATTTTTTTTAATGTTAAATTTAAAATGAAATAAAAATATATAAGTGTGTGCGTTAATACAAAAGGATTTAGGTTTAAGTAAATATAAAAATAAAAAAAGAGTATTAAATAATTTTATTAATATTGTTTTATTATTTTATTATATTATTAAATAATGACAGAAAAAATTTACATCAATACATGAAATACTGCTTTGAAAAATATCACAATTATTTAAATATTGTATATTAGTGTATTTCTGTACAATTATTATGGAAGGAAAAGGAAATAGAAAATAAATCTACTATGTATTGGTACTAGCTAAGTCTTGGAGTAAAATAGTTATATTGAAAGATCCGAGACCGCAGAGTAGCTTGGTTATAATCCTAAATGTTATACTCAAATAACAAATTGTAATTTTACTAGTACTAGACAATGCTTCCTATTATGGAAATTAATTCAACTGACTTTGTACCAAAATGCGTAAGTGCTTCATTTATATTTTACTCCAGAGTATGTTAATAAAAACACTCTGGTATGCCACACTAAAGAAAGATGGTGAAAGTTATGGTGTAGAATTAAGTGAGGTTCAAACAACACCTGAGATCAAGAGTCCTATTACACAAAGTAATAAAACACAGAATGGAAAGACATTGGTGAACTACAACAGAGTCATCAAGAGAACAGTTCAATAGTGTGTCAAATGTTTGAAGTGCCATCGTCAAAGATCATGGCCAAAATGTACAATCCTCTCCCATTCTGGCCATGGTTGAATGAGACAAGAATATTTTGAAACAAATTAAAATATTTACCAATGCTGGTAAAGCAAAGTCTGAAAGCTCTGTTGATGCTACCTTTTCATTTTTTCAGTACAGCTTACATAAAATTTGTTATTTATTATTAAACTCTTATTCAATCGACACTTGTTTTTCAATGGTTCACAAAATGAAGTCACACATAGGGTGTAATTATTCAAGATTTTGAGACTTTACGCAGTCAAGCAGCCACAGGTAGGAGAGAGCTAAAACAGGAACTCTGGACCACAGCTTGAGACAATGTAGAAGTGCTGGTGAAAGAGTATACCAATATCAGTGTAAATCAGTGATCTATCTACACATAATAGAAGATTACACATCAATAGACAGATTATACATCAATAGACAGATTATACATAAAATAGGCAGATTAATAGACAAGAGGGACAGAGGAATAGACTGGCAAATGTAGGTAGTCAAAATCATTAGCATAAAAGTCATCTTGACAGTTTTCTGGCTCTACAATGAACCCAGACAAACTGACCTTGAGGAAGGCATCAATGTCTCCGACAGCAGGAATAAGGTCAGGGATAAACGGTAGAAGGCTGTGATCGAGTTCTATTGTCTGAGGGGTATATCTACAATGATAACACAGTAAGCCAACACATCAAACAAAAGCCATTACTGACCTTAATAAATGCATCAATGTCACCCACGGCAGGTATGAAATCAGGAATAAATGGTTTTAGTTTGTAATCTAGCTCTATAGTCTGTGGAGTGTACCTGAAATAAAACCATACTGGCAACTGCACATAAGATCCTTTTTATTCCTCAAAACTTAAGCAGAATTCTGTTACAGAACACAATACCTTGTTATGTACTGGAACATTTCTTTAATTTCAGGGGTAACAGGAAGATTTTCATAATCTCCAGGATCATAGGCTCTGAAAAAAAATGTAAACAATAAAGTTTTATCTGCATTATCACAGTTTTCAGTTGATGTTTTGAACAATGATGTTACTCAGTTTTCTCACCCTTCAACTGGAACATGGTCATCATCTTCATCATCATCATCATCATCGTCATCATCATCTGTTTCTGACCCTGAATCATCATCATCATCATCTTCATCCTCATCAAACTGCTGTTGAGGTGGTTGTCTTGGCTGGGGTTTGGGAGCTTGAGATTGCTGCATGGCTTTGGGATCCTGCTGAGGCGGCTGAAATTATATACTTATATCATATTTTTTCTATGTGTATTGATATTTAAGAACAGATTAACATTTTACAGAAGCTTTTTTAAATAAGTAATTAAAATTATGATATTTTATTAAGCCATTAAAATAATCTAAAAAGTTAAATGCAGTTATATATGAAAATCCTCAGACAATATTGACATAGGATATATATACTGGTGGATTCATGTTGTCCTCAAATTCCTCATCGTTTTCATCTGACATGGCTGCTTCTGGGGGTGTGTCTCCTCTGCTATGTCCTCCTTGGCCTGCGGGGTCAGAAGCTGTAAATGTTAAATTGATTCAGCATGAATACCTGTCCTCAATTGTAAAGCAGAAAGACTTTCTTTTAACATGTTTTTTTTTAAATTATTATTTCTTTGTTGTTGCAGGTGATTAGATCTTAAGTGATTTTTTTTCTGTAAGATTAAAATGTCTCCAATCCTTATGCCACCATGAATATTGATTATTAGTGGAAAGTACAGTAGAAAAGAAACTCTCTTTATATCAATACTAATTAATAAAGTGTTACATTCCTAAAATTTATGATGTTCCCCAAATGATTAACTATTTATTTGTGTGCCAAAAACACATACATAGTAAAACCTGATCTTTATGCTGATATTAAAAGTAATATTTGTTCTTGGCATAATTTACAAATGTAGATACCCTTTAGTAGTATTTTAAAGATTGCAAGAATTTTGTTTTAAAAATATTTATTAACTGTACTATACAGAAAAATATAATCTTTTTAACTTGCCCCTATCATTTGGAGGACATAATAAAAATTGCAAACCCAACAGCCAAAGCATCATCACTCCCCCTGTCAATCCCAGAACACTGCAGTTTTTAAATCAAGTTAATAAATATGTTACAACCTAATGGTTAACTGAATACATGTACTTCAATATCAAGTCATATACTTTCCGAGACAGTAAAAAAAAACAGGGACAATTCACAATACACAACAGCTGGACTACAGCACCTTACTGCCACAAGTACAAAGTTATTTTCTTAGTTATGTTATTTGTTGTATATATGTAGATTGAAAATGATATATATTCTATGCTTAAAAAAGAATTACCATCAAAACTGTGTGTCGGTGAGGCTGGTGGCACTACACATAAGGCATGTAACATACCATTATTGACATGCATGTACTACATTAACTTTCTTTTTAAAGAAAAACCTATTTTTCAAAATCAAAGGATTAAAATGATAATAAAATTTACATTACTTTAACAATTCTTCTGAAACATACAGTGAGACTCAGAGAAACATAACTTTACTGATAAGATGTCTGAAGATATTTGAAGTCTATTTTGAATTATTTCAAGAGTTATAACTACAATGAAGAAAAGAAGTGTAAATCTACAGTACATGTAGTATGTAATTCTCAACTTCTACACTACTTAAGAAAAAAATTAAAATTCTGATGTCCCTTATTTTTAAAGACATCGACCATGATTAAGACATGGTGAAACCTATCATCAGAATTTTTGAAGACAATACTAATTTACCTGGTGGTCGCCTTTGGCGAGATAATCCTGGGTTACATGATGAAATGAAAGAAAAAAAGATAGATGTCTATAAAGATGAACATGGTGACAATGATATTTTGCATAGAAATATAATTAAGAACACAATGATTTAAGTAGCTTTTGCAAAGACTAAAATCTTTATCATCTTAAACTCCGTTAAAAAAAGTAAAAAAAAAAAAAAAACAAACAAACAAACAAAACAAACATTTAGGCCATCTATAAAAATTGTTTGTTTGCTCACTCCAGACCAACTGGTCTAAAATGTCCAGACTCGTTACTAATTTTTAAGCTCCAGAAAGCGATAATGGTTTTTTTCTTTTAATTCTTGAATTTTCTCATCCGGCTTATATCAATCTGATTAAAATAAGATCTTAGTTACACTCTGAAATTTTGATGGTCTCCATCTTCAGAATTTCTGAGCGTAACAAAGATCTGATTTTAGTTAGGTTGTGTCAATGTGTATGTGAAAAAAATCTATCCCATCTACCTACAGACCCTCTTTTTACAAAGTCAGGAGAGGGCAAAGTAACATTTATTTATAAATGCCTTCACAAGTTCAGATATCTGTGGTTTAAATGTCATTTCTCTTTTGAATATTTTTTCAGATATTAAATTTCTTTTCTTTCTTTTGACAGATAAAATGCATAAATTTATTTTATATCAAAATCAAACAAATATATGTCCTTGCACAGTTTCATGACTTATTTTTAACCAACTTTCACACGTTTAAGAATCTAATTTTAAATTGCAATAGCATGAAAATAAATAAAAAATGTGAAGATCTTAACTTTTAGAGAGAAAAAATGCTACTTAAACATGTAGCACACATCTTTATTGTATGTGTTAGTAATGAAAGAACTTTTCAAAGTAAAAAATGTCAAGAAGTTTCCATGAATACATGAATGTAGTTTACATATAAAGTATAGTATGTATACAGTGAAAAAGAACTCCCTAATGTCTTATGATTTGTAAGAAGCAGTTTTCCTACCTGGATGGACCCGGGGCGTTGGTGAATATTCACTGGCCACTTCCTCTCCGTCTGGGATTTCTAGAGCCTCGTCGTATGGCTGATTTTGCACATTCAGGATTCCCTGTCAAATATTAAAAACCAAGTTTCAATAACATTAACACATATCTATTTATAAAAAAATATTATGTCCATAGCAGTGAAACATCTGAAAATAATAATCAGGTGGTTAATCATCCCTTGTCAGACAATTTAGATGATAAAGCACCAACACTGTATCAACCAGAAGTCTCTGTCAAGACTGTAGCTCTACTGGTTTGTACTTATAACAAAGGATGAGAAAAGAAGCCATTGCCATCAGACCAAAACTGTAGGATGACTAGCGTTTTAAAGGAATTTCAAAGAAAATTCAATTTTGAGTAACCATGGCAACATCGTTCATCAAAATTAAAATCTAATGCACTATTTTATGTATCTTAGTGTAGTCTACTTGTGTGCCAAGATATATTGAAATCAAATCAAAACTGTAGGAAGAGTAGCGTTTTAAAGAAATTTCAAAGAAAATTCTATTTTTAGTAACCATGGCAACACCGTTCATCGAAATAAAAACAAATGCACTATTTTATGTATCTTAGTGTAGTCTACTTGTGTGTTACGTAATATTGAAATCAGACCAAAACTGTAGGAGGAGTAGCGTTTTAAAGGAATTTCAAAGAAAATTCTATTTTTAGTAACCATGGCAACACCGTTCAACAAAATCAAAAACCGATGCACCATTTAATGTATCTTAGTGTAGTCTACTTGTGTGTTACGTAATATTGAAATCAGACCGAAACTGTAGGAGGTCCTCGAGGAGTAGCATTTTAAAGGGATTTCAAAGAAAATTTTATTTTTAGTAACCATGACAACACCGTTCACCGAAATAAAAACCCATGCACTATTTTATGTATCTTAGTGTAGTCTACTTGTGTGCCAAGTAATATTGAAATCAAATCAAAACTGTAGGAGGAGTAGCGTTTTAAAGGGATTTCAGAGAAAATTCTATTTTTAGTAACCATGGCAACACCGTTCATCGAAATCAAAAACCGATTCAGTATCTTATGTATCTTAGTGTAGTCTACTTGTGTGCCAAGTAATATTGAAATCGGATCAAAACTGTAGGAGGAGTAGCGTTTTAAAGGAATTTCAAAGAAAATTCTATTTTTAGTAACCATGGCAACACCGTTCATCGAAATCAAAAACCGATGCACTATTTTATGTATCTTAGTGTAGTCTACTTGTGTGCCAAGTAATATTGAAATCAAATCAAAACTGTAGGATGACTAGCGTTTTAAAGGAATTTCAAAGAAAATTCTATTTTTAGTAACCATGGCAACATCGTTCATCGAAATAAAAAACAGATGCACTATTTTATGTATTTTAGTGTAGTCTACTTGTGTGCCAAGTAATATTGAAATCAGACCAAAACTGTAGGAGGAGTAGCGTTTTAAAGGAATTTCAAAGAAAATTCTATTTTTAGTAACCATGGCAACACCGTTCATCGAAATCAAAAACCGATGCACCATTTTATGTATCTTAGTGTAGTCTACTTGTGTGTCAAGTTATATTGAAATCGGATCAAAACTGTAGGAGGAGTAGCGTTTTGAAAAATTGTTTACAGACAGACGGACAGACAGACAGTCGGACGGACGACGGACACCTTACTATCGCATAAGCTCTTCTGGTCTCTGACCAGTAGAGCTAAAAATCAAAACTTTGTTTGCAGGATATATCACAATTTTTGACTGCATGCCCCTTGCACTATTTTCTCTCGCGGACTAGCTGACACAAATTCCAAAAAAATAAATAATAAATATTCAAGTTTATAAACACTTCAAAGCAAATCAGATAGGATATTCTTATTCTGTAGATCAAAAATATTGTAAATAAGCCAATATTATACAAGAACCTGTACGCAAAATACTCAAACGAAAATAAGATTAGTTTCGATACATGGGGAATCCCTTACCATTAACATAACATGAGTTGATACCATCAACTTGTAAAAAGCAGTAATTTCAACCATTTCACATTTTTGTTTTCTCTAATTTTGTATATTTATGAAAAGTAATTCAAGGTAACATGTTTTTCACTTTCAACAGGCACGATACAGTGTTAATGAAAAGAAGGGTAAGTGGTAACTGAAAAAAGTTTGAAACTAACCCCCCCCCCCTACCCGCACGAAACAGGATTTCCAGGTTTGGACAATGCTCAAATTCTCCTTTTTTTTTGTCAAGTTTTTTTCAGGTTGAATTTTTTCTCTTTGATTTAGCCCCATCCCTTTTTTTTCCAATTTTCCAACGCCGTTGAATCATGTTTTCCTGAATTTACAGTATCAACATTTATACTAAGTCAATATATCGGTTAGCCTCAATATAGACCTTTTTTAGCTCACCTGAGCCGAAGGCTTAAGTGAGCTTTTCTGATCAAAATTTGTACATTGTCTGTCGTTGTCGTAGTCGTTGTCGTCATCGTTGTCGTCATCGTTGTCATCGTCGTCGTAAACTTTTTTTCATTTTCATCTTCTTCTCAAGAACCACTGGGCCAATTTCAACCAAACTTGCTACAAAGTATCCTTGGGTAAAAGGGATTCAAGTTTGTTCAAATGAAGGGTCACACCCTTTTCCAAGAGGAGATAATTATGAATTGGAGAAAAATTAATGGCATTATTAAACCAGAAGTCTCTGTCAAGACTGAAGCTCTACTGGTTTGTACTTAAAGCAAAGGAAGAGAAAAGTTCTTTAGCAGTTGGGAATATTGAAACTTTACCAGAACAATAAAAAAAAAAGAATAATGATCCTTGATTAAGTTTCTTTATGTTCTTAGTATAGTCTACTTGCATGCCACATTATATTATATTCAGACTTAAACTGTATTTGGAGTAGCATTTTGAGAGTATTTAACAGAAATTTCTATTTTTAGTAACCAAAGCAATAATGTTCATCAAAGTCAAAAACTGATACATGTATATAGAAATTTGTATCTTAGTGTAGTCTACTTGTGTGCCAAGTTATATTGAAAGCAGACCAAAACTGTAAGAGGAGTAGCATTTTGAAAGAATTTCACAGAAATTTCTATTTTTAGTAACCACAGCAACACCGTTCATCGAAATCAAAAACTGATATACAAAATTATGTATCTTAGTGTAGTCTACTTGTGTGCCAAGTTATATTGAAATCAGACCAAAACTGTAGGAGGAGTAGCATTTTGAAAGAATTTCACAGAAAATTCTATTTTTAGTAACCAGGGCAACACTGCTCATTGAAATCAAAAACTGATAAACAGAATTATGTATCTTAGTGTAGTCTACTTGTGTGCCAAGTTATATTGAAATCAAACCAAAACTGTAGGAGGAGTAGCATTTTGAAAGAATTTCATAGAAATTTCTATTTTTAGTAACAACAGCAACACCGCTTATTGAAATCAAAAATTGATATACAGAATTATGTATTTTAGTGTAGTCTACTTGCATGCCACATTATATTGAAATCAGACCAAAACTGTAGGAGAAGTAGCATTTTAAAAGAATTTCACGGAAATTTCTACTTTTAGTAACCACGGTAACACCGTTCATCGAAATCAAAAACCTATACACAGAATTATGTATCTTAGTGTAGTCTACTTGTGTGCCAAGTTATATTGAAATCAGACAAAAACTGTAGGAGGAGTAGCATTTTGAAAGAATTTCACATAAAATTCTATTTTTAGTAACCACGGTAACACCGTTCATCGAAATCAAAAACCTATACACAGAATTATGTATCTTAGTGTAGTCTACTTGTGTGCCAAGTTATACTGAAATCAGACCAAAACTGTAGGAGGAGTAGCATTTTGAAAGAATTTCACAGAAATTTCTATTTTTAGTAACCACGGCAACACCGTTCATCGAAATCAAAAACCGATACACAGAATTATGTATCTTTGTGTAGTCTACTTGTGTGCCAAGTTATATTGAAATCAGACCAAAACTGTAGGAGGAGTAGCATTTTGAAAAATTGTTTACAGACAGACAGACAGACGGACGGACGACGGACGCATTACTATCGCATAAGCTCTTCTGGTCTCTGACCAGTAGAGCTAAAAATTAAGTGGACTGACTTTCCGAAGGTCGTTCCATTCTCTTGCAATGCTTTCTTACAATTTTAGTAAACCGTATTCCCTTGGAAGACATTATGTATTTATTGAAATAGGCATTCATGTTTTTCTCTGAAAGTACATAAAAAAAAATAGCTTTTGTTTATCTAGTATACATTATAGTTTATGCTGGCAAAATTATTGAGGGGCACCCCAACCCACCCCTCCCCATCCTGGTTCCTAAATTCATGCACGTAAAACTCAATAGGACCAAGAAAAACGATGAGACTTCTAGAGTTTGTAAAGATCATTAATTACATCTGTGAATGAGTTTCTCCAGTGTGTTGTAAAATCAGTCTTTTTCGCCTTTTGGATGTTGAATGAAAATTATTGAAATGCATAGATTCATGTTGGATACAATTTCATAACTGTTTATTAACTTATTTTGCCTTTTCAAGAGAACACAAAAGTGGTTCCCATTGCCATTTCTTATAGTATAATATTTTTTTATTAATTTTTTTAACAAACGCCTGGCATGTTAAATAGGAGGAAGTTGTTTTTAATCAGGTATGTGTTCTTTCTCGTTGTTTTCTTACAGATCTTTTTTTCATCTTTTGCTAAGGAACAATGAAATTAAGATAAATTTGGGATAATACAGTTCTACCCTCTCTAACGATCAAATCTGATGTTATTTACGATATTGTTGACATTGGATACCAAATTTCTTTTAGACAAATTAAAACACTCTGCGCCTCGTCATATGATTAAAAACAAAAAGACTTCATTTCTAAACAATGAAAATAAGTTTGAAATGAAGCTAACTAAAATGCATTTTTCATATGCTTACATTTCTTTCGTCTTCGCTATCAGGAGACTCCATTTGATTTTCGATTCATTTCAGGAATGCTACCCACAATGCATTTTTCTTCATCCGTATAACGATCCCGATTCTAATACTTTCTTCTGTTCGATGCAACAGGGTAATATATGTGTGAGTAACATTGTCGATAAAGATTAGAAATTACAAAAAAAAAAAAAAACTAAAATAAAGAAGCAGCATGAATTATTTTAGAATTTTGTGTGCTGTATTGCCAGTGGTATTTCTGAGAACTCCAAGCATTTTGTTATTTTTAGTAAATGTAAAATTTAGAGAAAAACAATAACGCTACTAGCTATTTCTTTTTGTGTCCCTGTGATTAAAAGAAGATTCGCTGGTACATGTATATCGTTTTTTGTCCTTCAGACTTTATCACAGGCACTTATTTCGGAAATATTTTTTAACCCATAAACTGTATTATAATACCAATTGACTGAGGCGAAGGTAAGGAATATATATGGCTTTCATACTTCACGTATGTATTCCTTGTGAAAAGACCTTTCATTGGATACCAACATCTTTGACCTTTTGACCTTGGAGTTTGACCTACTTTTTAAAAACAAACCTTGACCATAACTTTTGAAGGGTCAGTGCTAGGGCTTTCATACTTCACATATGTAATCCATGTGACAAGACCTTTCATTGGATACCAAAAACTTTGACCTTGGAGTTTGGCCTACCTTTAAAAAACCTTGGCCAGAACTTTTGAACAGTTACGGCTATGGCCTTCATACTTAATATAAATAATCCTTGTAACAAGACCTTTCTTTAACAACAAACAACTTTGACCCTTTGACCTTGACCCTGGAGTTTGACCTACCTTTCAAAAACTTATCCTTGGCCATAACTTTTGAACAGGTGGTGCTAGGGCTTTCATATTTCACAATTGTATTTCTTGTGAGAAGACCTTCTTTGGGTACCAAATTACGGTATTTAGTTTGCATTTAAGAAAAGATTGATCTTCGCTTTGTTGCCATACGGCGGCATCAGTGTTTCACAAACACATCTTGTTTTCTTAATGCATTTGATAAATAATATAGGATTTACATTTCAGGATAGCCAGGTCTAGCCTTAATTTCTTTCTATACATTCGTTGGGAAAGTGATAATACATGATAGGGTTAATTGTAGACGGACTGCATTTCAAAACAATTTGTGGGAATAAAATAACAGATAAATCTTTAAAAATACACATAAAAGATTATGATTTTACATGGTCAATCACCTATCATAAGTCAACAAGGAGATAATCTCGGCTTACGATAGCAAAATAACATCAGCGACTGTATAGTTATATCAGCAGTGTGTATAGTTTATCTCAGTACAAACTCCGCCGTCCAGGATGAGTAAGAAACGCATGAAGCCACGACATTACCGAACTTTCTTTGTATTTTGACTATTGGTACATTAACTGAACTCCAAATACAGGTAAATTTATATTGTGTGATACTGTGATAATTGATTGGTTTCATGAAATTAACTCTGGCATCCATACAATCTGACACATGATTACCACTGTAAAATGTTGAATTAAATCAAATTACTATTGCATGATTATAAAACTACTTATTCTACTAATTTCTAATTAGACTTAAAAAAGACTAATTTCTTGTCCTTTTTCAGTGGAATCATGTCATCGTCTGCTCTTTGCTCCGTCCAGATCCTTCGAGTGTTTGTCTTTGTACTGTTTTGTGACATAGTTTTGACACTTCACGGATGCCGACCATCCCTCTCACTACCAGGAGTCCTCAACTGTTCGTCCAGTAACTTGACATTATATCCTAATGATGTCCCATCCGACGTCACCATTCTGGATCTGTCGCATAATGAAATAACCAATATTGATATACTAAGTACAACCTCTCTTACTCATTTGAACCTCTCCAACAACCATATACAAAAAATAAAGCAGAATGCTTTTACAAAGTTGACCAACCTTGTTCACTTAGACTTGTCCTTTAACCTTTTGGAAGGATCTGATATTATCATTCAGAGATACCGGTTCGAATTAAGCGAATTCCATTCTTTAAAAGTTTTGAGTTTTCGAGGAAACCCGCTTGGATTTGTGTCAAGAATGACTTTTACTTCGTTTGGATATCTTTTACTAGAGGAGCTTGACTTATCATATTGCAGTATCACCACTCTGCAGTCGATGGCTCTCACAAATTTAGTGAGGTTAAAAAGGTTGTATCTACAGTACAACTATTTGACGACTTTATCTGAAGATTCTCTACATACTTTGGGCGAACTAGAGGAACTCCACCTCGGACACAATAACATTAAAACCCTTGGAGTTTTGAAATTTTTCCCACAGCTACACACACTTTATTTGAATTACAACAAGTTGGAGTCACTGGAAGGAAACACAATTTCTCATTTAAACAAACTTGAAAATCTTTTTATAGACCACAACAAATTGAAGTATTTAACACACAATACGTTTCCTGATGGGTTACAGAAGGTTGTTATGGCAGGTAATCCGTGGAGATGCGACTGTAACATGAAGTGGATCTTAACAAACCCGACTAGTCAACAGTTCTTCCAGAACAACTCTTTATTGTAAGTATTCATTGGGTTATACTTTGAGTAACATGCTTTAATGCATACCAATGGCAAAACCATTGCTTTTTATGCCCCTGTTATTGAAGATTCTAGGTTTTATAGTTTTTATTCTGTCCGCACGTCTGTCTGCAAAGGAGCTTAAAACTTTCCCAAAGCCTTTGGTTGATTGGAGTTTCATATTTAAGATATGCATTCTCCATGACAGACCTTTTTAGGGCATAAACCGAAATTTGATCTATTGACGTTAACCTGGGAGTTTGACCCGTTTTTGCCAAAAAAAACGGGTATAACTTTTGAACAGTTGGTGTTTGGGCTTTCATACCTCAAAATTGTGTTTATTGTCACAAGACCTTTCCTTAGATATTTTACTGACATTAGAGTTTATCCCACTCTTCAAGAAACTTTTATCTTGGCCAAAACAAAAATTAAGTATAAGGGCTTTCACATTTCAAAGATGTATGCCATGTGACACGACCTGCCTTTAAATATCAATAATTTAAAGCTTTTGATCTAAGAGTTTAAAAAAGGGTAATTAATAGCAGTTTCTGCCACAGGCACCTGAAGTATGGATAATACCCCTCCCCCCCTTTTTTTTAAATGAAAAAAAAAATGTCAGAGTGTATAATACCTCGAAAATATAAAATTTCCCCGTCAAACACATCTATATGTCGTTATATGCAAGCAGATTGTACTTTTTCTCACGTTTAAAGAATGGCCCTATTCGGTATAGTAAAAATACACAAGGTAAGAAACAAAAGTTGTAAACAAACGGGGGAACCCCTGCTTCGAGACAGATTTCCAAGGTAATAACAGTGTTACCTATCATAATTTTGCAAGCACTATGTCAGGGAGATGTTCTTCTACTAAACTATTTAACCTAAACCCCGCCATTAATGTTAAATATGCCGTAATCGAACGATTTATTAATCGGATACATAAAATTTTCTCCATTGGCAGCGTTGGAGGAGGTTTTGGAGTTGCTTTTCTGTTTCGCCTTATCTGATTGGTTAGATATTTAAACTGTATAACACTTAACCAATCAGATAAGGCGAAACAGAAAAGCAACTCCAAAGCCTCCTCCAACGCTGCCAATGGAGAAAATTTTATGTATCCGATTAATAAATCGTTCGATTACGGCATATTTAACATTAATGGCGGGGTTTAGGTTAAATAGTTTAGTAGAAGAACATCTCCCTGACAGAGTGCTTACAAAATTATGATAGGTAACACTGTTATTACCTTGGAAATCTGTCTCGAAGCAGGGGTTCCCCCGTTTGTTTACAACTTTTGTTTCTTACCTTGTGTATTTTTACTATACCGAATTAAGGCCATTCTTTAAACGTGAGAAAAAGTACAATCTGCTTGCATATAACGACATATAGATGTGTTTGACGGGGAAATTTTATATTTTCGAGGTATTATACATTCTTTTTTCATTTAAAAAAAAGGGGGGGGTATTATCCATACTTCAGGTGCCTGTGTTTCTGCTAGAGCTTTAACATTTCATTTATGTATTTCTTGTACATGTATAAAGACTTTTCCCTATGTTAATAGTAAATATGATAATTCTGAATACGGATGCATGATGATTCGTTCACCTGATCAATACAGAGAGCTCAGGTTGAACGTGACCGTCAACAGGGAATGCTTAAATTACTAGTATTTCCTGTTTATGCACCTGATCCCGGCACTGAACGTTCCATGCATCTTATTGTAGTTACAGGTTTACAAGATTGGTAAAGTTTCGTTATCTTCATTTTCATCAATATGAGCACCTTATCTGTGAACTAGTTCTGTTGATATTTGTGCATGTTCGTTCGTATTTGTTTTACAATTTTTATTTCTAGGTGTACCTATCCATCTCGGTTTCGTGGGAAGAACATCTTATCGCTAGAAGCAGACGACCTCACCTGTATGACGTCAGCAGTCGGAGTTTTGGCCACCGTTCTGCTTACCCTGACGATCATGGTTCTATCGGCGCTTGGAATGACGATCGTCTATAAGAAGCGCCACTGTCTGCCCTGTTTGAAAGACCCCAGTGGTCAGTATGTGGCGGTTTTCACAATGGACGACGGTCAGCAAAATGAACCCAGTGTTACAATATCAGACACGAAAACACTTGTCAAAGAAGTTGAAATATATGCGTGATTGTGTCATTTAATAAATGAATATTAATTACAAGTCAGTATTCTAGAAGTTGTTTTGTTATACCTTTATAAATGTGTTCCTGTACAAATCTATAAGAAAAAAGTCTAACATTTCTGATGTTTTGTTGAGCGGGCATAAAAAAATCGATGTTTGACCGCTGACTGAGATGTTGGACCTGTCGATGAGATGTTGGACCGCTTACGTCACACAACGGGTAGAGCTTAATCTCATTTGCATTCGTTGATGTTTAACTGTGATAGACCTGATATTTACATGTACATCACAGAAAATCAGTACTATACAAGATGCATGTGTGTCAAAAAAATTAAGATAAAAGGT